CTACCATACGTTAAAAAAATACACAAATAAGTGTGTATAATTAGGAAGTATAAGTGTACAATACGTACATATATTGCTCTTATTAAAAATAATAATATTAGGATCGATAGGGGTCTTACTCTACATATATAAGTGCGTGATAATTATTAAAACTTACTTAATTTACTAAAAATACATCATAAATGTAAAAAATGTTTACATTTCATTGTGCGTGGTTTTAATGTAACTATTTTGCCGAAGTGTCTACATAAATATAGTGTTTATTGTGTGAAATAGCGCCGAGAGGTTAGTTCAATTTACAAACTTTAACAACAAATAACTTAAAAACTATAAGCCTCCTGCGGCTAAAAGTATATATATTTGCAATCAGGAGAACTCCCCCTACCCCCCCATAGCCACCTTTTTTTTGTACGCGGGGGATGCCAAACTAAAATTTTCCCTTCATATGTATGGATAAATATGTATTTTAACAATTATAAATAAATACCTGATAACCCAAGGTGCCGGGCACACCGCGCAACCCGTCTACAGCTGCAGACCCAAAGGTTGCAATGGCCTGCTGGTCAAACTCTGTTATATCAGAGGTTTGAGGCCCTCCTCCAGTCATTTGAGCCTGCGTTTTTATTCTTCGCGCACGACTGCGCAACTGGTGCTTCCAATGCATAAGTGACTGCGCAGAAAACATTCATATGTGTAGAAACAAGCACAGAAAAATCTTACTTACTTCTTTCCACTTGGCCGCACTTCGTGTTGGACCTCTCATTGAGTTGAGAGTGTCCGCCACCTCCGTCCACAACTTCTGCAAAAGTTGCGGGTTGTTGGGCATACATTTACCACGCTGCAACTCAGGATGCTCATTGCAGAATTGCACGAAGAACTGCAGGTGCTCCTGAGTTGTTCTTTCTTTTTGAATTCGCCTAGAAGATAAATAAAATAAGTAATTATCAAAAAGAAATATACAAATTGCAAAAATTCTTACTTTTCCCGTGGTTGAGCATCCATCTTTTGTCTATATTTTATTTACGAAACGGCTGTTTGACAGCAAACGCTTTTCACCTCGTATGGTGATTTTGTTGAGCTTTTTTCTTATGAGGTGTGGCCAAGAATAACCTCACAAAATAGACCTCACAAGAAATCTCACAAATTTTTGCTCAGAACTCAGTTGTGAGGTTTTATTAGAATAGGGCTGAAAGTTTATTAAAGGCGAAATTAGCTGTTCCTGTAAAACCTGCAAATCCCGCAAATCGTGAAGTACGGGAACAGGCTAATACTTTTACCCCAAATTCCTCCAAAATCGAAAGATACTATCGATAGCGCCATCGATAGTTTGACAACTCAATCAAAGGTCAATTTGTGTTTTTTTTTTAACTAGTAGGATCTTGTTTTATTTTAAGTTGCTTAATTATCAATAGTAAGCTTACGATGATGCAGCAAGTGGGCCTGATGAAATTTTCATGGAAATATGTTGCAGGGTCAACATGTTTAAGTTTTTGCAAAAGGACAATTTCTGTGCTTAGTTCACAGATGCATTATCAGTTTATGCAGCAGTCGAAGTTGCCTACTCTATATTTTCAAAGCTCGTTGCCGAGGCTGCCAATTCCTGATATAAAATTGACAATTGAGCGGTTTCTTTCAGCTGTAAAGCCGCTATTAGACCAAGAAGAATATAACAAAACCGTTCGCATTTTATCAGACTTCCGAAACTGTGATGGGGCTGAGTTACAGGCACTTTTACAGAAGAGCGATACATCAAATAAACACACTAGTTACATCTCTGAGCCATGGTAAGATTAAATGCCCTATTATGTATGGTCAATAGGTCTCTAGCCTCTGGTATCTTTTTTTTATGAATGGAAATTGACTTCCATTCCCTATTCTTAAAAGTGATAACAAAAGTGATGTCTGGGTTTGGCTTTCCTTTATGGCCGTTCGTTAAAGGGGCGGTGGGCGAAAGGTAAGTGAGCGTGGCACCTCTAACGCACCTTTCTGGAGAGGGAATGAACCGCCATTGACAAAAATGCAATCCCCGCCCACCTAGTTCCCTTATGGTTCCCTAGGGACCTCTTAGAAAAATTGCCAAAAATCGCAATTTTCATTTGCGTCTATTCGATTGAAAAATGTTAAATATTCATTTGCGTAATACATTTTTTTTATCCACATTTTTATATACAAGACATTTTTATAAAACACCTAGTAACCAAAATAGACATCACTGTGGCGGCAGCCCCAGTTTTACCACACAGAAAGGGAATTCTAGTCACCTTATCCTTTCCGCCGAACGCCGCCTAAGCAGAAAGGAATTCTAACAAAAATACTGTGGACGCAAGTAAAAATTGCGATTTTTGGCCATTTTTCTAAGGGGTCCGTAGGGAACCATAGGGGGCCTAGGTGGTCGGGGGCTGCATTTTTGTCAATGGCGGTTCACGTCCTCTCCAAAAAGGTCGGTTGTAGGTGCCACGCCTACTCCCCTTCGCCCACCGCACCTTTAACGAACGGCCATAATGGAAAGTTTCCCCGATGTCTGTAATTACAGAGCCATTTTGTCCCCAACCCTTCTACGGTTACTAATCTCGGCTTCTTTAGTGAGTATTCTATTGCAGCTCTGTATGTGATATTTCCCAGTATTGTTATGCCTTAAAGCTTTATTCGGAGACACCAGGGTTGAGCTGTGCTGGGGTAAATCTCAAATCACCACCGATAAATCAACTGCCAAAATCATCCCGCGCCTTTTACTGTAAAAAATTCAAGTAAAAAAAAAATATTTTCACTTAAATTTCTTTCGTGAAACTTACTTTTAAGGTATTTCGTCTGAAATAAGTCTATGTATATTGGATTTCTGTAGAACAGTTATACGCATCCATTTTGAAATTGCCACCAACTATACTATAAAGTTTCTTGGACAGATTTACTATAGAACCGAGTCATTGTTGCCGCCAGGAAGTGAAGAGGAAATGTTCTTCAAATATATTTCTTTGTGAGATTAAACGTTCTATGAAATGTTACACAATTAGAGAATTTCAAGAACTTCATCACGGACATAACGCTTTCGTTAGGTTAATTAAGGCGGGAAACAACCACCAAACCATGTTGTTGTTGTAGCGGCTACAACAACCCCGCCAAGATAGGCTAATATCTTATTCGTTATCGTCAAGTTCCACTAACGGCAGCCCCAAGAAGCGTGCAGCCTCTACGACGCCGTTAGGGTTATGGGGTTTTCCGGGCATGCGAAGAGATTATGTAGGGGGTCTCTCCGCTTGCCGGACATTCGTTCGGCACATCCGCATTTAACCCACTCAGGTAGGAATTTAGCTTGCTGCAGTAGCCAGAGCGAAGTTGGGCTATTGTTGTCCTGGTTGTTGTTGATGTTGTTGTTGTTGTAGCGGCACTACTAAGCCCCGCCTGTTTCGGGTCAACTTTTAATCATTATCGTCAAGCTCAACTAACTGTAGGCCCAGGAAACGAGCTGTTTCGATGGGGTCGGACCAAAGGAGAGGGGTGTTAGTTAAGTCGGATTGAGCTGGCATGTGAAGAGGTGGTTGGTGTTGTGGGGGGATTCTCCATATGCCGGGCACTCATTTGGGATGTTTGGGTCGAGTCTGGAACGGTAGCTGTTTAGGCGACTACAATATCCAGACTGTATCTGAGCCAGGGTAACGCGGGTCTCTCTAGGTAGTTGAAGCTCCGTCTCTTCCACAGGTGGTGATTGGGCTCCGATAACGACATTCTTAGGCCGGGAGTCGAGGTAGGTGGAGACTGACTCCCTATGAATGTCGTTAATCGCTTGTCTGTACGTCATTGGGTCCAGTGGTTGGTCTGTGTGGGTCTGGACTGCGTCCTTGTACACGAATAGGTGCCCCCTGACGTGCCTGGGCGGAGGCTCCTCCTCCAGCAGTGGTCTGTTGGGGTGTTCGCTTCTGACACCCCACCAGAAACTGCTTACAGAGCATTTTGTTGTGTTCCCTTACGGGGAGCACTTGGGCCTCGCTGTTTAGGTGGTGCTCAGGCGTCATCAGAAGGCACCCAGTCGCTGTCCGGAGTGCGGCGTTCTGACAAGTCTGTAGCTTCGTCCACTGCGTCCAACTAGTCCCCGGCGACCAAATACTGGCGCTGCATAATTTAGAAGCGGCCGGCCAATTGCCTTGTATGTTGCCAGCAACGTTTCTTTGTCTTTGCCCCAAGTGCTGCCGGCGAGCGACTTGAGGACCTTGTTGCGGCTCTGTACTTTGTTGACAACTGCGGTTGTGTGCGCGGAGAAGGAGAGCAGGCTATCAAAGGTAACCCCTAAAATTTTTGGGTTGTTCACCGTCGGTATAGGTGTGCCGTCGACGTGAATGCCTAATTCTAGCCTGACCTCCTTCGTCCAGGTGGTGAAGANGTGCCGTCGACGTGAATGCCTAATTCTAGCCTGACCTCCTTCGTCCAGGTTGTGAAGAAGGTCGCCGTTGATTTCGTTGGGGAGGGTGTTAAGCTTCTTGCAGTGAAGAAGCGAGAAAGGCTGGAGAGATAGCCTTTTACTTTTGAGGAGAGGTCATCAATTCCATTCCCAG